TGCGGCTCTTTCACACAGTCTCCGTTAATGTTAACAAAAAGCAAATTTGCATATTTTCCAATACAAACGTGTGTGTAATATTTGTTCATGTCTTGTGGCTCTCAGACATCTGACGTTTATTCTGTGTGGCTGCTCCGTTAAGCAAGCTTGGCCACCCCCAGCATAGACTCTAGGTGAAATCCCTCCCCCGATTTCTCCCCTCCACCGTCACTGCCCCCCAAATTGCCACGAACTTCCCAGGCCAGAGCTGGTAACCCTATTAACCGGGCAACCTCCTGGTATGACACACCTGAGTTGCGGGGGGGGGACGGATGGACGGACAGTGAGCTCAAATACCCGTGAAGCAGCTCTGACATATTCCCCCTCTGTCTTAGTTCCAGGGAGCTGGAGACCTTCTGACATCCTGGGCTCTGCAGGAGAGGCCTCGGACACCTCTGCAAAGGAGGAAGAGGGACTTGGCGAAGACCTCCCGGGAGTCCACCCGCCCGCGCAGTGAGTAGGCGATTGCAAAATGCACCTCCCTGAAACCCTGAATCACCTGTCCTGTGCAAACAAAAGAAACGGAAAGCAAGGAAAGATTATGCCATTTCGGTTTCAAATATTGTTTTAAGCAAACTTTGAGGCTGGGCTCCTCCCTCCTCTCCTTTCCCTGCTGCGTATTTATTTGCTTTCTTCATTTATCCCACCGTTCTCCCAAGGGGGACCCAGAGCAGTTTACATCCTTCTTCTCCACTTTATCCTCACACCAACCCTATGAGGTAGGCTGAGAGGGTTTGTGTGGTCCAAGGTCACACAGCGAGCTTCCGTGGGAGAGTGGGGATTCGAACCCGCATCCTCCTAGATCACAGGATGGTCTTCTAACCACTATGCCACATGGGTGGAAATCTGGGTCCCGCCCCTCCCCTTCCAGCAGGCAAACTCCAATGGGGTAGCTATCTGTTAGCAGAAGAAAATCCCTGGGGTGCCTTAAAGGCTAACAAGCTGGAGATCTTCAGCAATACTTTTATGAGCCTTGCAACTAAATTAGAGTCCAGTAGCGGTGGCTCAAGTGGTTAAGACACTGAACTGCAGACTGGAAGGTCGGTAGTTCAGCAGTTTGAGACCCAAGTGCTGCATGACAGAGTGAGCTCCCGTCTCTGGCCCCAGCTCCTGCCAACCTAGCTGTTCGAAAGCAAGAAATTGCAAGTAGAGAAATAGGTACTGCTTCGGTGGGAAGGGAACAGCGTTCCATGCGCCTTGGTGTTTAGTCATGCTGGCCACATGACCACGGAAACATCTTCAGACAGTGCTGGCTCTTCGGCTTGGAAACGGAGATGAGCACCGCATCCCTAGTGTTGGATTCAACTGGCTTTTGAGCAAGGGAAACTTTTACCTATCACCTTAGAGACTGAACAGACGTTCAGGGTATGAGTTTTTGAGAGTCAAAGCAGGGTGTTATTACATTAGTTTCAGTTTAATGTGCTGTCGATATTGACACACTCTGAAGACGATAATCCGCAACGAGAAAGAAACCTAGGAATTTCATCAGTGTTCTTTAATGGCACACCAGTAGCCTGCAATGGCATATTGAATATCGGTCTTTAATGGCCCATTAGTCGTCTGTAACGACATATTGAAAATTTGTCTGTGTCATGTGTGATTCACGGTACTATGTCTCATTTTGAAACAATGTTAAGAATTGGGAGCATTGGTGTATGTGAATGCAGTCTTTCGCTTCCCGCTTCATATGTGATTGGAATATGCATAATGCATTGAGGATTACTGTGGGAAATTGTTGCAAAGTTGAATAAGGACTGATAAGGAAAAAAATACAATCGTATACATTTTAAACAATAAGTTGACTTTATTTGTACACAAAGCTGTAATTGAATAGTTAGATACACAGTATTTATCTTGCGGGTCTACCTCTTATACTGTGTCCCTTTGTCATCTCGGGGAAGAAAACCTGGCAGTGCAATTCCAAATGGTCACGGAGACATGAATCCGTGCCCCTCTTAGAGGACGTAAACGAAGCGCTCCCAAGTGGTCTTATGCACCTTCAGAGAGGGTGTGACGTTATCCTGCTTACTGTGTAGTGATCACAAGAAGAAAGGGGGGGTACACTTGCATGTTCTCGGGAGCGGAGAGCAATAAGAACATAAGAACATAAGAGAAGCCAATGTTGGATCAGGCCAAAGGCCCATCCAGTCCAACACTCTGTCACACAGTGGCCAGAAATACCAGTGCCATCAGGAGGTCCACCAGTGGGGCCAGGACATTAGAAGCCCTCCCACTGTTGACTCCCAATGCGAGAGGCGTGCCCCAGAATGCTTTGCAGTGTCCTCGCGAAGCAGTGTTCCCTCTAAGCTGAGTTAGTGTGAGCTAGCTCACAGTTTTTTTAGCCTCCGGCTCACACATTTTTTGTCTCCGCTCAGGAAGGATGGGGCTCCAGAGCTAACTAATTTATGCAGCAGCCAAATCGCTCATGCACAATTTTAATGCCAGTCGCTCACAAAGTAGAATTTTTGCTCACAAGACTCCACAGCTTAGAGGGAGGCATTGGGCTCCAGCGCAGCGCATAGACTCCTGCCGCGTGAGCGAGACGGAGAAGCCACTTCTATCTGTTGGCCTGGCAGAGGGGTGAAGGGAGAGGAGGAAGGATGTGTGGGCGGCTTTGCAGGGGAAGCGAAAGTGCGTGTGGAACCAGCCACGTGTGCCAGGCCAGAAATGTCGCCGATTTCGTGGCTTCGGCCTGGTGGAATGGGGGAGAATAAGCATGACAGCTGCCCCAAGCAGGGTGGGCAATGGGGAGGGGGTGGGTGTCCTTGCGTTTAGGTCCTTACACCCCACTTCTCTCCCCAAAGTGGCTGACATCCCCATCTCCCTTGTCCAGTGTTCCCTCTAAGCTGAGTTAGTGTGAGCCAGCTCACAGTTTTTTAGCCCCAGGCTCACACATTTTTGTCTTCGCTCAGGAAGGAGGGCTCCAGAGCAAACTGATTTATGCGGTACCCAAATCACTCGCTCACAACTTTAGTGCCAGCCAGGAGCTCACTAAAGTAGAATTTTTGCTCAGAAAGTCTCCACAGCTTAGAGGGAGCCTTGCACCTGTCCTCCTTTTTACCCTCACAACAGCCACCCTGTGAGGTAGGTCAGGTAGAGAGTGATCAGCCCAAGGTCAGTCTCCTTGGCAGAGTGGGGATTTGAACCTGGGGCTCCCCAGTTGGTCCTCGTCCAGCACAGTAACCCCGCCAGCTTTCTTTGTGGGCTCCTCCTGGCTCCTCCCCAAGCCAGGAAAGGCAGTGCCACGGGGTGTGCAAATGGAGAGCATTCTCCCCCACCCCCCACCCTCCGGGCAGGCACTGGCATTCTGAGAGGGGTTTACGGGGCGAAACTTGGCAAGGGTTAAGGCACATAACCCGGCACCAGTTGAGTACCGGATTCACTTCAAGGTGTTGGTTTTGACTTTCAAAGCCTTCTACGGCCTGGGACTGTTCCCTGGAAGGCCAGATAATGAAACTGAAGCTCAAATACTTTGGCCACCCAATGAGAAGGGAGCCCTCGCTGGAGAAGACCCTGATGCTGGGAAAGACTGAAGGTCAAAGAAGATGGGGACGGCAAAGGATGAGATGGTTAGACAGTGTCACAGATGCAACGAACATGAAGTTGAGCAAACTTCAGAGGATGGCAGAAGACCGGAAGGCCTGGCGTGATCTGGTCCATGGGGTCGCAAAGAGTCGGACTCGACTGTGTGACTGAACAACGACAACGGCCTGGGACCAACATATCTAAGGGACCGCCTCTTCCCCTATACGCCTCGAAGAGCGTTATGCTCAAAAGATCAAGACCCCCTGGTCAGTGTTCCCTCTACGCTGAGTGAGTGTGAGCCAGCTCACAGTGTTTTAGCCTCCGGCTCACACCTTTTTGCCTTCGCTCAGGAAGGGAGGGCCCCAGAGCAAACTGATTTCTGCAGCAGCCCAATCGCCCGCTCACAACTTTAAGGCCGGTAGCTCACCAAGTAGAATTTTTGCTCACAGGACTCCACAGTTTAGAGAGAGCACGGTCCCCGGCCCGAAGGACGCCCGCCTTGCCTCAACCAGGGCCAGGGCTTTTTCCACCCTGGCCCCCGCCTGGTGGAACAGGCTCTCTATTGAGACCAGGGCCCTGCAGGATCTTATGCAATCCCGCAGGGGCTGCCAGACGGTGCTGTCCCGCCAGGCCTTTGGCCGAGGCAGCGGGCGTCCACATATGGCCCCTCTGAGGTTGTTGTCGTCCGTCTGTCGCCTGTCTGCTGACCACCAACAACTGGCCTTTAACTCATGGTACCATCGGGCCAGAACTCTGGCCAACTGACGCTGTTCCAAGCTGTACCCAGTTGGTGTAGTGGTTAAGTGCGTGGACCCTAATCTGGGAGAACCAGGTTTGATTCCCCAGTCCTCTGCTTGCACCTGCTGGATGACCTTGGGCAAGCCGTAGTTCTGACAAGAGCTGTTCTTGAAAAAGAGCCGTTTCTGTCAAGAGTTCTCTCAGCCCCGCCTACCTCACAGGGTGTCTGTTGTGGGGAGGGGAAGGGAAAGGAGTTTGTAAGCCGCTCTGAGACTCCTTCGGGTAGTGAAGGGCGGGGTATAAATCCAATCTCTTCTCCTCTTCTGTTCTTTTAATTGTTATAATGTTTTATCCGCTTTTAATGTTTAATGTTTTCAATTGAAATTGTATCTATCCTAATGATGTTGCCCGCGGGCGGGATATAAATGCAAATAATAAATAAATAAATATATACTAAGTAAGTGGAACCTCTGTCCAGGCCAGGCCCAACTTGCAGGGCGACCCCAGATGGCCCCCCTCGCTCTCAAGCATGTGCTCGGTTCGAATCCAGGCGCACCTTTGAGACCAACAGGAATTTGGGGCTACGAGCGTTCGAGGGTCAACGCTGCCTTCGTCAGATACAGGTTGGAATGGAGATCTTCTCTCCTGGGTCTCTCAGGGGGTACTGGATTCGAAACTAGCTCTTGTACTGCAGACCAGTGTAGCTGTCCTCTGGGACTATTTCAAGCACGTGGGGAGTCCCTTTGCTGGTCTGGGCCCGGTTGGAGCCAGGGCGCACCAGCCTTTTAGAGGTAGGGGTTACGGAGACATTCCCTGTCGTCAGGGGTCATTTCGTAGAAAAAGAGGTGCAGGCTCTCATTAGCATAACTCATTAGCATAACTTATTTGCATATGCCACACCCCCTGACCTCACCGGAAGTGTGTCAGAAGGCAACACCCACCGCTCAGGCTCCACTGGACTATTTTGGATTGCTAGCTATTGGGGGGGGGGAACATGCAGATCTGTTCTCGCAGAGGAGGGAGAGCTTGTACCTGAATAAAACGTGGTCTTAAAGGTGCCACTGGACTGTTTTGGATTGCTAGCTATGGGGGGGAGGGCAACGTGCAGATCTGTCCTCGCAGAGGAGGGAGAGCTTGTACCTGAATAAAACTTGGTCTTAAAGGTGCCTCTGGACTGTTTTGGACCGGGGGGCGGGGGGGCTCCACAGCTTACTTGGCTGCTTCTTGCTCCGACTGAGGGCTGCTGGGAGCAGGGGGTGGGGCTTGTTGCATGTGCCCGCCCCCCTGGGCTCTTTACTGCCGGAGCTCCGATCCTGTGCACTCCTGCAGGAAATGACCCCTGCCTGTCGTAAATCTGAAATCTCCTGTAACATGCAATAGGATGAGATATGGGTTCCTGGTGGTGGTAGAAAGTGCCTTGAAGTCACCGCTGACTCACGGCGACCCTGTGGGGTTTTCAAGGCAAGAGGCGTTCCAAGGCGGTTTGCCATGGCCTGCCTCTGCGTCATGATCCTGGTATTCCTTGGTAGTCTGCCGTCCACAGACTCACCAGGGTTGACCCTGCTTAGCTTCTGAGATCTGCTGAGACCGGGCCAGCCTGGGCCATCCAGTTCGGGGCCATGGATTCTTACCTCTGCTAATGCTGAATTAATTGTCAGTCAAGGTTTACAAGGGTAACGCGGGCTCACTCCCCCCTGGAAACTGTTTCCATCACTTGGGCTGAACATCCGGACCTGGGGTGAGAGGACAATAAGGAAAACCATGCCCCTTTGTTGGTCTTGAAGGTGCCACTGGACTGAAACTGTGTCCTAATGCCCCTGAGCAGAGTGCCGTTGCCATACCTTTCCGGTGGTCTCAGAGGGCCCTGTAGGTGCCCAGGGCGAGGGCTGACCACCAACTTGGAGGATGCCGCTTCCCCAGAAGGTGTGAGTCCCAGAACCTCTCTGTGCTAATCGCTCCTCTCGGAAGAAGAAGAGGAAGAAGAGGAGGAGGCGATTGGCTTTATATCCTGCTCTTCACTGAGAGCGGCTTAGATGTGCCTTTCCCTCCCCCTCCCTGGGAGGTCGGTGGGGCTGAGAGAGCTCTGACAGAAACTGCCCTTTTTCCAGAACAGCTGTGCCAGAACCATGGCTTGCTCAAGGTCATCCAGCAGCTGCAAGTGGAGGAGTGGGGAATCAAACCCTGTTCTCTCCCAGATCAGAGTCCGCGCACTTCACCACGACACCAGACTTGTTCTGAATGTGGGCACTGCAATTAGTGGCTTCCCTGCCTTCAGAAAAACGTCATCGGTTAAGAGCAAAAAGGGGCAGAGAAGTATTTCTGGAGCAGCGAATAGCTGGAGCAGACTGAGACCTTTTCTCGTAGGGTTGCCAGTCTCCAGGCGGGTTATTGAGAAGAAGGAAACAACCGTGATGTAGTATGCCGAAAAAGTCTCCAAAGACTAGAAATTTCTTTTTCCGATATTCAGTTTACTGGAAGCAATTCAAACGCCATCAACACCAACGAACCATGCGTATTATATCTCATTTTGTGTATAACTTTATCAGGGGTCCTTTCGTAGAAAAAGAGGTGCAGGAGCTCATTAGCATAACTTATTAGCATAACGTTATTTGCATATGCCACACCCGCTGACATCACCAGAGGAGGGAGAGCTTGTGCCTGAATAAAACTTGGTCTTAAAGGTGCCACTGGACTGTTTTGGATTGCTAGCTATGGGGGGGGGGAGCGCAGATCTGCCCTCACAGAGGAGGGAGAGCTTGTACCTGAATAAACCTTGGCCTTAAAGGTGCCACTGGACTGTTTTGGATTGATAGCTGGGGGGGGGATGCACAGATCTGTGCAGAAAGGAAGGAAGGAGAGAAAGAAAGAGAAGGAAAGAAGGCGGGAAAGAGGGAAAGAAAGAGAAGGAAAGAAGGACGGGTGCTTCTTCCTCCTTGTGGCCCAGGGCTGCTGGGAGCAGGGGGTGGGGCTTGTTGCCTGTGCCCGCCCCCTGGGCTCTTTACTGCCGGAGCTCCGCTCCTGTGCGCTCCTGCCGGAAATGACCCCTGAACTTTATCAAAGTGGGTAGCGTTGAAATACCTATATTTAATTACAAAAAGATAATTCTAGTATTAGTGTTAGCAAGAGAATAACACAAGGCTGTACAAACAACTGTCTGTTATATAACATACTTACAATATTAATCCATTTGACAAACTCTCTAGTAGTATCGCATAGTGGGACCGGGAGATCTCCCGGAAATGACAGCTGCTCCCCAGACGACAGAGATCAGTTCCCGTGGAGAAAATCGGCTGCTTTGGAGCGGAGGGTGGGACCGAGGCCCCTCCCCTCCCCCAGACCCTGCCTTCTCCAGTCTCCACCCCCCAAACCTCCAGGAATTTCCCAACCAGGAGCCGACATGCTTGTTTTTTTCTCTTCCTCCCAGGAAAACAATCTGTCCTGCACTTGGTTCCTGTTCGCCAATCCAGTAGCAGTGAGTATCGTCGCCCTCCGCAACGGGGCAGGAGAGGCCTGTTTATTATTACGAAGGTATAGGGCACCTCTCCTGCCAACCTAGCCGTTCGAAAGCAAGGAACGGCAAGTAGGTAAATAGGGACCACTTCGGTGGGAAGGGAACAGCATTCCGTGCGCCTCGGCGTCTAGTCACGCCAGCCACATGACCACTTAGACGTCTTCGGACAGCGCCGGTTCTTCGGCTTGGAAACAGAGATGAGCACTGCCCCCTAGAGTCGGATTCGACTGGCTTTCGAGCAAGGGAAACCTTGCCCTTTACCTATAGGGCACCTCCAGTGTATACGGTGATAGGGCTGGCGTCATCCTACCTTCTCAGCTGGGGCAGTTGCCCAGGGCCGGGGCTGCTGTTGACCCCCAACATAAGAACGTAAGAGAAGCCAATGTTGGATCAGGCCAAAGGCCCATCCAGTCCAACACTCTGTCACACAGTGGCCATAAATACCCGGTGCCATCAGGAGGTCCAGCAGTGGGGCCAGGACATTAGAAGCCCTCCCACTGTTGTCCCCCCAAGCACCAAGAATACAGTGCATCACCTGCCCCAGCCTGTGAGTTCCTATCTATACCTTGTGGCTAAGAGCCACCGATGGACCTCTGCTCCATATGTTTATCCAGTTCCCTTTTGAAGCCGTCCATGCTTGTATCCCCCGCCACCTCCTGTGGCAGTGAATTCCAAGTGTTAATCACTCTTTGGGTAAAGAAGTACTTCCTTTTATCCGTTCTAACCTGACCGCTCAGCAAATTCATAAAGTGCCCACGAGTTCTTGTATTGTGAGAAAGGGAGAAAAGTACCTCTCTCTCTATCTGCTCTATCCCATGCATAGTCTTGTAAACCTCGATCATGTCACCCCTCAGCCATCGTTTCTCCAAGCTAAAGAGCCCCAAGCGCTTTAGCCTTTCTTTAACATGCCCTCTCCCTGCCCGCTTGCTTGTGAATACCCATGTTCCCAGATGCACACGCTGCCCAATGCTATCAGGGAAAGGACTGCGGGCAGTGCCGATGGCGCTGAGCATGGGTGGTGGGAGAGGGCATGAGCAGGG